ACTAGCCCCCCCCAGCTCTGCCCCACAGACCCTGCTCGGCGTTCAGCACCTCTCACCCCTCAACACGGTGCTCGGCCGAGCCCACCCACTCCAGCACTGCCAAACCCCAGCCAGGAACAGGCAAAACCACATCAGAAAGGGTCTTACTTCCTCTCGGTTCTCCAACATCCTAGAGCCAGAGCCCAGCGGGAAACATCTGCGCAGAGAAAAAAAAGAGGATTTAGCAAGACAAGATCAACACGTCGGGGGTCTCCCATGTACTCTGCATCCCCCCAGGCACCTCTCCAGCCCCCACCTCCACACTCAGACCCCCCTTGTCCTCTCCCCTCCCTCAGCACGAAGTCAAGAGGACACGTTCCAATCCAGCAGCCCACAGGGGAGGGAGCATCCAGCATTCATCTCCCAGGTGCTCCTGAGGCGACGTGGCCTGTTGGGCTCACACCGGAGAGCGTGCCGTGACCAGAGCTGGAGCCTGCAGCGCTTCTTTCCTCCACGGCTTCTTTCCTCCACGGCTCGTCTGCAGGTCACCCCTGCCCACAGAAAGGCACTGGGATCCCACAGCTTTCTGGAACAGCGCTCAGAAATCACCGGATCACAGCAGAGGTGAGCAGGGCTCCCAGCTCCGACGGGCTGTAACCACCCGAGGACGAAATGCTCCTGCTGAGCTGCCCACCCTCCTCTCCCCCAGCACGTCCCCGCTCCCAGCAAGATACTGGGGTCTCTGGGAGAGCCGGACACAGATCTAGGAGAGCTTTTCCCCCAGTGGAACTCCTGTTAGGCAGGAACAGCCTCCTCGTTTGCACAGCACCGAGATCCCAGGTTCCCAGTTGGCTCCTGCAGAGCCAGAACTGGCAAGGCAGGAGGGAGAGGGGGTGGAAGAGCCCGGCCCACTCCCCACACGGGCAGGTTTGCGCTGAAATGCCAGGGGAGCTGGTTCAGCTGGGGAGGAGAAAACTCCGCTTCTGGCACCAGCCGCGGATGTGCCGTTTGTCTCCGGCTCTTTCCCAAATCACCGGAATAAGCAGCAAACTCAGTACCATGACTTCTCCACCCAGTTGGGATTTTTATTCTCCCTTGCTGATCTCCCATTCCTCCACTCCCAGCAGGAGCCAACGAGCGTTGGCAAAGCCTTCGGGGCACCGCAGAGGTGCCCGGTGCCCCCCGTCCTGCCCAGCTTTCCTGGCTGTGCCGCTCGCACGCTCCCATCACACCAGCCTCTTCCTCTGCCACATCCCTCCGGTGCTCCCAGCTCCTGCCAGACCGTGTCAGCTCATTTGCTGCACCATTACGTGCTCCTGCAGCACCACAAACACAGCCCCAGGGTTTGCTGGGGAAGGGGACAGGGAGATAACCCCCCCACACCCAGTAACAGCACAGTCCGGCCAGTGAAACCCCTCTGAGCCAGTCCCCCCACCTCTGCAGATGCACTGGGCGGACACACACCAGGAACACTCGTCAGGGGGAGCTGGAAGACCAAGAGTGTCCCGTGTCCTGGTTTCACCTCCTCTGCAGGATGGTTTGTAGGAGGTTTTGGAGCCCCTGGGATAAACGGGAAGCACAGGACTTTGTCTGTCACCGCTCGGGCTCCCAGGGGACACAGCTGCCTGGTGGCAGAGGCGACGCAACCCTTCACCTGTTCCCCATTCCTGGACTCCTGCCTTTTAGGCCACGGGAGCTGCCAAGCGTCAGGCGGCGCTGGAAAGCCAGCCTTTATTTATCCGCTCGGATGCGAAGCAAAGCTCTTCTGGAGAAGGAGCTAAATTTAGCTGGGACAAGGGGAGGGGCTGAGCCACAAACCACACTTCAAAAATCTGGCTCCACCGGTTTGCAGGTACTTTCTGCAAGACTTGAGCCATCCGATTCCGCCCGGAGAGCACAGAAAGTGTTAACAGCAGCGGAGAAGAGTTTTGGGATAGACAGCAAGAGAGCCAGGCCTGCTCCGAGGTGTCTCCAAGTAGCTGAACTCTCACTGGAGTCGGGTCCGGCTGCTGCTGTTTCCAATTTGAGCTGTAAGGGGGAGGGGAACCTACCAAAAAAAAAAAAACCCAAAAAAAACCAACCCCATGCTTCAGCACACATGATCCTCCCCTGGGGAAGGAGGGCAGCGAAGGAGCCAAATGTGACGTGAGTCACTGTGCTCAGCGTAGCCATAGGGGAGCTCCGATCCTCCCCCATGCTGGGGGCTCCCAGCCAGAACCAGTTCAGCAACAGAACTTGACCATTACATTCCCCGGCCTCCCCAGGGGATGCTGCCGCCGTCCCGTTGCTTTTAGAGCTCCTCGCTCCGCGTAAGAGCCCTGCCTAGATTAAAAATGCAGGAGGGAGAAGAGAGAGAGTCAGGAATTGCCTAATGGAACAGCGGAGGGCTGCCAGGAAGAGGAATTTAATTTCCCAGCTACTGAAAGGGTGCTCCGAAGAGCAGAGAGACCCAAGGGGGGGATGGCTCTCTGCAGTCGGTGAAGAGGTGGACAGGCTGTGGGGAAAACGGAGCAGCGAGCCCGAGTGCTCACATCCTCCACCTTTACTTTCATCCAGCGTTGTACCAAGAAAAGCATAATCTCATTTAGCTTTATTTGGAGTTAATTGCTCTTAACTTGATAAATCAACTTGAACCCAGTGGAGAAGGCAGCTCTGAGTTAGCTTTAACCAGTTACTCCAAATCCTCTTTCAGGGCTTTTCCTTAAAGCCTGTTTAAGGGCCCTGGGATACGCGGTTTGGGTTTGGTTTAATCTTCCTCCAATTTGCATTCCGGTGTTTCCAGGGCTCGTGCTTCCAACGTCTGCTGGCTCGAAGGATGCCAGAGGTGGAAGCCACATGGAAACACCCCACATCCACTGCTCCTGGAGCCTCACAACCTTCACCTGCCCAGGACACAGCAGTCCGGCTACGGGGCGAG